GGTCCTGGGGGAGTCAGAGGGTCCTGCCCCCCAACTCCGCAGTCAGATGTGACTCTCAGCCGGCCGGGAACACAGGTGGTTTATTAGCCGACAGGAACACAGTCCAACACAGAGCTTGTGGGTACAGAGACCAGGACCCCTCAGTCTGGTCCCTCTTGGGGAGGGGGCCCAGACCCTGGTTTTGGGTATTGGTGCAGCACACAGGGAAACTGAGGCACACACAGTGTTCGTGTAGGGCAGTAAGACTCACATGCAACGTAACGAGATGAATAAAACCCCACTTCGTCACAGGGGGCTTTCCCAGTGAGGGGTGGGGGGTGCATGGTGACAGGTGGCTCTGACGGGGTGGGGGGGTGATAGGCGGCTCTCACCCTAGCTGGGGGGGGGGGCTGGAGCCCCTCCCCCGTTGCTGAGGCCCCGCTCCCCCCAGGATCCGCGGCACCAGCTACCAGAGCCCCCACGGGATCCCCCTCGACCTGCTGGATCGGCTGCTGATCATCTCCACCGCGCCCTACAGCGACAAGGAGACCAAGCAGATCCTCAAGATCCGGTGAGGGGGGGCTGCTGCGAGTGTGTATCGTCCCCCCCACCCCCCCCCCAAGCAGTGCCCCATAGGCCGGATGCTCTCACCCAGCCGGCAGCCCCCTGGGGGTCACTCTCATTGGGGTGAGCCCCTCAGCTTCCCGCCCCCTTGTAGCCTGCAGCCCCCCCCCCCCGGGTCAGGCCGGGAGCCCCCCACAGCAAGTGCCCCAGAGGGAGCCAGGCCCCCCAGCTCCGGGCTGGAGAGTGACTCGGCCGGGGGGGTTGTTGGGGGTCTGGGCGCAGCGCGGAGAGTCCTGGGTTAGCGCCGAGAACAGAAATTACAGCCAAGGCTGGGGGGGTTGGGCCAGAGGCCCCCCCCCCGACCCCTTAGTGCCAGTGCCCCCAGTTGCCCCACACAGAGCAACCCCTACCGGCCCTTTGTCCTGCAGCTGGTCGCACCCGGCCGGCTCCCTGCCCAGGGGGCCCCCACGGGCGTTAGCTGCTGGGTGCCAACGGGCCGGGTAGTGGGCAGGGCCATTGTCTTCTGGGCCCCTCCCTGGGCATGGGGGGGCTGGCCCCAGCCAGCTGGCGTGGGTCACACCTGGGTCTGTGCGGTGAGCAAACAGCCTCCCCGCCCCCAGTGACCATGCAGCATGTGGGGAAACCGAGGCACAGAGCATAGTCAGGGACATCTTCCAATGCTGCGAGCTCCCCCCAGCAGTGCCCCACCCCCTCTCTCCGCCCCCAGGTGCGAGGAGGAGGACGTGGAGATGAACGAAGACGCCTACACGGTGCTGACGCGCATCGGGCTGGAGACCTCCCTGCGCTACGCCATGCAGCTCATCACCGCCGCCAGCCTGGTGTGCCGGAAGAGGAAGGTGAGGCC